CTGTCCGCGTGAATATATAATTTAAAAAACTTAATTAGTGTAGCCCACCCATCCATCTACATCACATCCATCTAAACATTCGCATTTATAATATTAGTAAGTTAAATAAAAAGCTGCTCTTCAAGGCATAAATTCGAAAAAAAAAATAGTATCCTATGTCCGTCTCCTGGCTCTAAGCTACCTCCTCACTAATTTTCAGGCATATCGGTAAAGCCGTTCTTGAATTATAAATAGTGTAACTAACACGACTTTCTTTTATATATATAGAAGATAGATGCGAATGTTTAGATAAATGGATGTTTGTTTGAAGATATCTTGGAAACGTCTTCATGTATGTCGCTGAAATTTGGTATAGATGAAGAACATAGTCTGGAAGAACGCATAAGCTACTAATTAAATTTCGTGCGGATGTAGTCGCGTGCAACAGCTTGTAGTTTCTTTATAGCTCTACTATAGCTTTAAAAAGTCTATGATAAATATGGCAATCGCAACTAGATATACATATTTGTATAAAATACATTTAACCGCTTTATTTTAAATTAAGTTTAATCTTTCACGGTTTGTTGGAATCACGTATTCATTTTAAATTATATTTCTACTCTGTTTATAAAGTTCATGTTGATAGCAAAATGAAGTAATTTAATAATTTTCAATTCTTCACTTTATGTTTAATTTTTAGGATTCCGTAACTCGAAAGGAAAGAATCCTTATAAGATCACTTTGTCCGTTTGTCTGTCAAGACCCTTTTTTTTTGTAAAACAAAAAAAAATAACGTCTCGTTGTTAAAAATTTTGTTTAAATACAAAGATAAGTTAAATAATTAGAGTGAGTTAAAAATAGGTGGCAGACATAAAAACAGCTAGTATAGCTGACGCCCGCGACGCTGCGCGGTATCAAGATAACTTCATTAGTAGTGTATGTGTTCTAGGTTCTACATCTAAGTTAAATGTCAGAGAGATTTGTACAGCCGTTTTGGAGATACTTTCAAACATCCATCCATCCATAATTCAAAACAAACATTATCAAACATTCCCCGAGTCCAACAAATAACGGCGGTACTGTTTTTATTTCTAACTGTGGGCTCTTTTATTTCCATTTATGTTTAACCTTTGTTTCAAAACATTTCAATGTTGGTGTGAAAATCAAACACCGTTTCACAATTAAATATTTGACTAACAATGTACACGGGCGTTTAAAAAAAATAATTTCTTTTGTCATATTAGTAACCCTTATTGCTACTTATAATTTTATTATCTTTTTACTAGCTGTCAACCGTGACTCCGTCCGCGCAGAATTCAAAAAAACCTTAATAAGTAGCCTATGTGTTCTTTCTGACTATGTTCTACATGTGTGCTAAATTCAAACATCCATCCATCCATCCAAATAATAGCATTTATAATATTAGTAACATTACAATTATCTTTTTTTTTTTAAGAATTTAATTGTTTTTCTTTTATTTACACAAACAGCCAACATAATCTTTGTGATTTGATCTTGTTTTCATGGAAAATATTGATGGCAATCAATCATATAATTTAGGGCAAACAAAAATATCTAACACAATTGTAACATAAAAATAACTTTCCTAATTTTAATAAGTAGATCTATAGATAGTATTATAATTAATTTTATTAGTACTATGCTACATCTGTACTTGTCTGTATGTTCGCAAGTCCGCTTTTGTTCCGGGTAATCTCTGAAGTGACTAGACCAATTTTGAAGGGATTTTAAATTGAAGGAAGCTTTCTTGTAATAGAAATGTAAACAGGAATAACTTTAGCAAGATCATCATCATCATCAGCTCACTATACGTCCCTACCGAGGGGCTCGGAGCCTACCTTAAGTTAAGGGTGATTAGGCCGTAGTCAACCACGCTGGCCAAGTGCGGGTTGGTTGACTTCACACATATCTTTGAATTTCTTCTCAGATATGTGCAGCATCACGATGTTTTCCATCACCGTAAGAACGTCGGATAAATGTACATATGTAAATCGGAAATCGAAAAACACATTGGTAGATGGCGGGATTCGAACCCAGGACCTGCAGATTGCAAGTCGAGTGCTTGACCACTGAGCCACCGACGCTCTTAGCAAGACATATTAATTAAAAACACGTTTAATATTTTACTTTCTAAATTTTTGGACAAAAAACCAATAAAATCAATTACTAAATAAAGTGGAACTACTAATCGGCTACATGGTAAAGCGGTTCGTTTGATGTATACAAACTAAGCTTGACTTAAGTTAACAGTAATAATAAAATAACTTAGGTAATGAAAAAATAATTTAAGACTTTAGCAACTCAGAATAAGTAAAATAAGTGAGTATAAAGATCTCATATTTTCTCTTGTTACACTTTATAAACATATTTCACGCAAGCGGTATTATTTCCATGAAACAATGCTTTAGTATTTTTATAAAATTCCTAGTAAAATGTAAGACATTCTTACACAGAAATACTCTCCAGAAAATCAAATATATCAAGATTTAAAACACAAAGGAATCTCAATTGAATATTTTTGTCTTTTGTGAATTACGTAACATTTATAAAAATGTATCATGTTTGTTTCGGAGAACTGTTTTTCCTGTTCATTCCTTTATTTAAGCAACATGAAAAATGAGAAAGTTAATTTGCATATATATCAAAGTACACATGATTTTTGTGGATACCAAAAAAAAAACATATTTTTTTTACCACATTTATTTTCAACCTACAATTGATAATATTAAAAAAGCTAATTCTTAAAAATACACATAGAACAAGTCTTAAGTCTAAAATAACTAAATATGTTCATGTTTTCATAATAGGCAACTCATTGCCCGTGTCAGAGAAGCAAAGAGTTCCGAGCTTATGTTAAAACTTTATTAACTATCGCCCGCTACTCTGTCCGCGCGGGATTAAAAATAGATGTTGGCCGATTCTCAGACCTACTCAATATGCTTACAAAATTTCATGAGAATCGGTCAAGCCGTTTCGGAGGAGTATGGCAACGAAAATTGTGACACGAGAATTTTATACATAACATTATCAAATACAATCAAACGCATACTTTGACAATAATATAATACAAGTACTTGAAAACCTACAATATATAGTAAGATTACTTACCCAAAACAATATTACTCTAACAAGGAAACTTTGTTTCCAAACATGCATACGTATGCCTTCAATGCCATCCTGTAATCAATACTACCCTGTTACATCCCATATACTTCTTTCAATGCAGAGTTTATCATGCTACAAGTTAAGCTAAATACCGCTCAAAGACACACACACATCGTCGCGGTTACCACTCGTCTGCCACGCCACGCGTTCACGAGTGAGCGCGTCCGCCCATCTATCAGACAAGCGGTCTTAGACAAAGTGCATTCGCTTTGAAGCGATTCCAGAGCAAACTTCAAAATTGTATGGAAGTCGCGCGACTATCACGTGACTTATCAAAAGTTATTGTCAGTTCTATACTTATTTGAAGTTCGTCATGGAATCGCTTCGTAGCGAATGCACTTTGTTTAACCCCCAAGAAGGATAAAACTAAGGTATGTCTTAGGCCGTATTTGCTAGATGATTGTTAAAATCGATTCTCAAACTACCACGAAATCATTTTAAATTAGCACGCCCATAGCTGAAGGGACCACCACAAGAACAGTTTTCCAATAGTCACAAAAGTTTCTTTAATTAGTATTTTGTAGGAGGACTTATTCTATATTCTTTGCATTAAAGATTCACTTCCAAAACTATCACTCGTATATCGTAGTTTCTTCAAACATCGTTTGTCTAATTAAGACTGAAATTAACCCTTATGTACATTTTATATAGACCATACATACAACTTTATAAAAATACTAGCGGACCCGACAAACGTTGTCCTGTCTACACGTCTTTAATTTGAATAAATTAATATGAAGTTAATATTTGATGAAAATTGTGAATCTAAACCATTCCCAGATCACCTTGAACACACACAAAAAATTTCATCAATATCGGTCCAGTCGTTTGAGAGAAGTTCAGTGACATACACACTCACAGAAGAATTATATATATAAAGATACGATCACTATAAAATAATTTTTAACTTAGTTTTTTTTTGCTTTTCTTTAAAAAAGAAATCTTGCCACAATTAAGGTTAAGCAATTCGAACAACGTCTCTTTAGACCTGTTACATTTTATAATTGTCTTCGTTAATTTATTATATAGTTATGTGATATTATTGAAATATTAAGAAGCTTTGCACAGTCAGAAAGATAAGGAAAAATAGAGAATGTCTATGGCTCAACAATACGAGATATTTTACAGAATTATGGATGTAATGGTGGCTGGAAATAATTATTAGGAAATATAATAACATTCTTATATATTAAAACATTCATAAAGATAAAAAATTTTGTAAGTTTACACAGTACAAAATATGTACAATCGGGGAATCTGGCGGTGTTCCATTTTAAAAGCAAAAGTCGTTTGAACGTTTTAATAACTTAATAAATACTTTTTATTATTATCCTGATGTTTGCGCAACTACTACCTAATTGGTTTTATGTTGAGGATTAATAAAGAAGTTCTATTTATTTCATTACTTATAATTGGAAATAATTAATGTTATTTTTAGAAAATAAAGTAGAAGTACAGGGAAAGTGTAACTGGAGTGAGAAAAGGCGGAGTTTGTTTTGTTGCCAGGAACCCTTGTTCCAAAAGTTCCAAAGTAGAACACCGCGGATTTCCGCGACTGTATTATTAAATGATTGTTGTACATGTTTTCACAGAAAACAATTTCTCTTTGAACAACTTAGAAGTTATTAAACTGTGATTTTTTTTTATAAATTTTATGTTTCACTTGAACAAGTCGATTTAATTTTTCTACATTATACAAAGTTTTATTTCCTTAACTGTTTAAGACGATCAAAGATCGTTGTGTATTTTTACACAATAGCGGAGCGAGCCATGTGACACTCGTGTAATGCGCGTAGCCGCTCGCGAGGTGCGCAAATCAGCCGAGGATGCGGGCGTCATGCTGGCCCGCGCCGCACCCGCGCTTCGACCGTCTGCTGCGGCTCTATCAGAGACGTCTCTGCGAAGCGCACGCCCAACTTCACACGGGGATTACCGTTCTAAAAACATAAGAAGATAGTAAATTTACAACGATCACAACATAATAGCTTGGATGGAGCTACTGGTAACTGAAGGGTTAAGCTTTGGGCTTCTTATCAGGCAGGTCTAAGTTACCAATGTGATTATCAATTTTGGAATGTCCTATGTACATGGTGTTACGGCGAAGAAAACATTGTCATGCATGAAACCTATACATATCTGTGAAGAAATTCAAAGACATATGTGAAGTCAATTAACCCGTGATATGACAGCGTGGTTTTCTATGACCTAGTTAGCCTTCGAATCTATCGGTGAGGAAGTGTTATTCCCTTCTTTACCCAGACGCTTGCATCACTAATTTACTTTTTATTACTAAATAAATGTTTACCTTATTTAATTTCTCCGCCGAATCTTCGAAATTTCGTATTTTATTTCTGTGCGAAGTCAGTCCGGTATTACCTAGTACAAACATTTTCATGAATTCTAACGAAATGTTTAGAAATTTAATCTTGCTATTATTATTAATGCTAAAGATTGAATGTATGGATGGATGTCTGTTACAATTTATTTTTAAAACAGCCGCATGGATCTCGCTGTAATTTGACATAGTTTTTTTTATATCGAATAAACCAGTACTTGACCACAAACCACCCAGATCGTATGTGGCTATATAGAACGTAGTCTGGAAGAACATATAGGCTACTTAACAAGTTTTTTCTTATTTGTGCAGACGTAGTCGCGTGTAAAAGCTAGTAAGCTAGTCTAAAATATCTTGAAGAAAAGTAACACGAAATTAAGGCACGTAATTTATTAAGAATTAAGCCGAAGTTAAAACATTCTTTCTTTAAAACTATATAATGATAGTTTGAACTAATAAAAAGAGGTCTTATTTTAAGCTTTTTGCCTGTTTCCAAGAATAATGGCTGTGATTATACGGACGGTTACAAAATATGGATGAATAATGTCTTGCGGTTATGTTTCTTAGTAGCCAGTCATTTTCTAAATGAAGGATTCTTATTTCAAATAAAATTTACTGATGCCAATGCGTAAAACGTAACGTAACTTCAAAACGAATTTTATTACATATTCAATACTAGCTGTAACCCGCAACTCCGTCCGCGAGGAATTACAAAAACTTAATTAGCCTATATATTCTTCCAGGCTATGTTCTACATGATAAATTTCAGCTAGAACCATGCAGCCGTTCTGCAGATAACTTCAAACAAATATCCATCCATCTAAACATTCGCATTTATAATATTAGTTATATTATACGTGTTATAAATTACCAAATTGCTTAAAGTAAATACAAACATATTTATTTTTTGTTAATTAAGACAAAGTAGGTCGTTCCTATTTACCCGAGAACCGAGGTTAAAAGGGACGAGAAGGGGGTGATGTAGAGAAAAATACGCTGGGGCTTTCTAAATCAACAATCAACTTTTATTATTTTATTAAAATAGGTAAATAACAAAGTTAACATATTTCCTCGTTCCTATTCACAGGAAAATGACAGGAAAATAGCTGCATCGTGATTTAAGAAAAAATAAAAAGCAAATCCGATCACTATTGTCGTTTGTTTGTTACTTTATTGGTCTTGTTTGATGTGTACTATAATTGGTATAAGTTATTATGTGTTTTATACTTTTGTTATAAGTTTTTTCGCATGTTTTATAATTTACCTGTTGGTGTATCCAAATAAATAAATAAGCTATAACATCGAAGTTATTCCATTGTAAAATTACCTGTATTGTTGATAGAGCTGGAAGACCAGCACCAGGTCTTTCTAAGGAGATGCTGGAAGGTATCATTGGTGCGCAGCGCGTAGGAACCGTACACCAGTGGGTTCATGCATGAGTTGGAGACGGCCATTGCGAACAACAGGTCCTGCAGCTGTGGAGACACGCGAGACGCAGACTGCCTGTCTATCATGTACCTAAAATATACAGCTTAACAATTTCGACAGAAGAAGGGACGTAATGATAAATAGATGCAAAAGGCAGGTATCCTAGAAACCGCGCGCCTTGTGAGAAGGTTCCTGTCTCAGCAGTCCTGACCACTGGTTGTTTGAGTCATGGGGTTCCGCAGCCGGTGGTGTTCTATTTTTAACATAATATATTTTGTATTTTTTTTTATTTTATGTATAAAATGTACTATATTAAGAATATGATAAATAAATAAATACATAAATAGAATGACATGTATATTTTTGTGTGAGACTAGAACGAATATTTGTGACGAGTGACATTGTATCGAGCGTATAGAAGAGTACATAAAAATCTTATACTAATTTTGACATATTTGACGATGAGACGAAAATTTTTTTCGCCAATATTCCTACTAGGCCCACTTTAAATTTCATTTCAAGGTTATTTTTGGTAGATATCTTTGCAGGTATCAGTAGTTGTTAAGCTATTTTAGTGAAATCAGTTTGCTTGTTCGTTAGTTCTGTCTTACCACATGGCCATGACAGCGTAGGGGAGCCAGCAGAGTGCGAACACGGTTACAATGATGACCGTCATGCGTAGAGTGCGCCGCCTCGCACGTTCTAGTAGCCGGTGGTCTGAGCGGCGCAGGCGCATGCCCGGAACGCATTCGCTTTTGTGCACGCAGGTCTCTGATAGAAACATGGATAATTGAAATCAAACATCGAATGGCTCGGAAAATTACACGATTCGCTGCCAAAAAAACTCAGGTATGGCTGGGGTTAAAAGCTTTTTAAGCTAACAAAAAAAGTGGACAAGATAAATAAGCAGTTATCAATGATTTTGGTGCCGATGTCCAAATTATAGTCTTCTTCCCACCATTTTCTATCATGAAAAGAATGGGACGGGATAGAATATTTAAGTGAAAGAAGAGCAGTCGTTCTGTGCATATTCTTCTCATTTCCTATAAAAAATTTGCAGATGTCTAGTGCCAATAGTTACTTCGCTATTTTAGCGAAATCTAGTGACAGTTTGCTTAATATTTATCTGCAATTTATCAAAATAGAAACATTTCTTTGGTTAATAAACATTGCATTACTTCAATCATCCTTTTCTTCAGTATCATTGGAAATGTACATCTAAAAATAAGCAAATAATGTTCTCTTTCGCAACACAATTTAAGCAAATTGAAAACTTCCTTAGCAAACTATATTTTGCAAAAGTTTTAAACCCGTTTTCCATTAAAAATAGAAATGGAAAGTTTTCCACGTTTCAAACTTCTACGCACGGGTCATACTCGATTAGAGAAATCTAAAAATACTCTTTTAGCGGTTAATTACCGATTCAATCTATTAAGAGCTTTCATCTATATTGAATCAATTGTGTCCATCTCAAAACACAGGAGTGATGATTTTCAATATTCGGATTTATCTAATGTGGCCCATTTTGTCACTGTTGTTACTGGCTACTAGTATTTTTTAAAAACAAATGAACATAAAAAAAAAGATAAATAGCACGAAACATTACGACCAAACAATAAAACAAATCGATCATCAATATATAATGATACTGGTAATTGGGTTTCTGAGACCAATATATTCGTTTAAATCATATTATTATCTCTATTTTGTCGAAGTAAATGACAGGAATGAAGATGTGTTTTGTACAGAGATTTTGGTTTCAAAAACCAACGGCTACAGTCGTTACTGCGCACCAAGAAATGTTGAAATCATTGCTTAAAGAATACAGTGCTCAAACGTCAGTCACGCGCAATCAGTCACGCGCTCTTCGTTAATCACGTGGGTTTTTGCAACCTTTTAACTCTATACCCCTGTCTGGTAATACGTAGTGAAGTTGTATAGTATCCTTCCGCCGATATAGCTACCATTATTTCAAATACAGCTGTAATTTGATAATTTATTGATTAATTTTTCGTCAACAGATAGAAAATAAATACACGTGTTAATAAGTTACATCCTCGTTGTGATATTACGTGATATCTTTTATCATCCCTGTCTTTAAAGCTTCACGTAAATGAACGATCGCTTAACGATGTTACCATTAAGTTCGTTGCTGCAGCGTCGTATCCTGCAGAAGATACAGATGTAGCAGACGGAAATGACGAGGAGTGGAACGAAGTACATCGCGCAGAGACAGCTCACGTTGTACGCTATCTCCTGACCGACGCTCTCGAAGGCATCGAAAGAAACGCACTGCTCGAAACCCGGCACTTGAGGATGCTGGAGTACCCGGAACACTACGCTCTGCACAAAAACAACTACTTTTAGAAATATTCACACAAAAGAAATCTTACTAAGTAAATGCGAAAGTTTGGATGGGTGGATGTTTGTTTGAAGGTATTTTCGGAACAGCTCCTAGGATTTACTAGTCTGGAAGAACACATAAGCTACTTAATAAGTTTTTTAAACAGGCGCGGACGGAGTCGCAGGTTACAACTAGTACAATAATAAATAAGATCCTTCGTACACAAAGCTACGTAAATTACATTAAGTAGCTAAGCGATAAACGCAATTCAGTCATAGAGGTTAGTACAACAATTGCGAAAACCATTCGCAACTTGTTTCTCAAGATCGTTGTGAGAAAAGTAGTTGCGATATTCAAGTTTCAGAGTAGCATATAGTATTAATATTATTTAATGGACAATTCTATTGTTCGCCATGGACAAACAACAGCGTCTTCAAAGACAGCATTAGCTTGGACCTCGCTCCCCTGCGCAAATGGAAACATAACAATCGTCTCAACCTCAGAACCTAGACTTTGTATTCCAATCGAATTGTCTCTATATTACGATTCACCTAGTTACTATTTGTTCTAACTATCTCAATTCAAATGCATTGCAATAATTTACAATAGTTTGTACTAACTATAAACAACTGTCTGTTGTCGAAGGTTCCGCAAAATTAAACATAAATAGTAGCCTGTGAGTTCTTCCAGCCTATGTTCTACATCTATGCCAAATTTCATAAAGATCCATGGAGCTGTTCCGGAGATACCTTGAAACAAACATCCATCCAAATATTCACATTTATATTGTTAGTAATATTAAGAGTTATTTCTTTTATGCAAAAAAATATAACACGTCAAAGCAGATTACAAAATAAAAGTTTATAAAGCCAGTTAAATATGTAGTTCGTAATAGAAGAGTTATGGATTCACTTTCTCGACTAATGGAATGTGGTCATACCTGTGGCAAGCTGCAAGCGAGCGCCATAGCCCACGCCCAGTACAGCATGTGCTGACTTCGTTTGTGAGCTACACGCAACTTCAATGGATACAGTACGGCAAAAAATCTGTGAACAAAATATTCATGTTTATAATCAATATACATATTCTATGTCAGTCCGTCCCTCTGTATGTTGAAATCAATTACGTATCTCTCTGTCATCCTACGTCGCAGAGGTATAGTGGACCTAGCACGAATTTTTGTGCACAAAAGTCGCCATAGTAACAACGTCGACTTTTTTATTAAAGTTTTTGCAGCACCTAGTCGTAAAGTACTCAAAAATGCGAAAGTTTAGATAGATGAATGTTTGTGAGAAGGTATCACCAGAACAGCGGCATGGATCACGCTAAAACTTGGCACAGATGAGGGACATAATCTAGTAGAACACATAGGCTACTAATTTTGTTTTTCATTTCGCGCGGACGGAGTCACGGGCAACAACTAGTATTATAATAATGTTTATGAGATGGATGTTTGTGAGAAGGTATCTCCAGAACGGCTGCATGGATCTTATTAAAATTTGTCATAGATGTTGAACATAGTCAGGAGGAATATATAGGCTACGGATTAACTTTTTTTTAATACCGTGCGGATGGAGTATTAAACGGTTTGACATAATTGGCGATGGCGATAAGAAGGCGCTTATCGCAAATATTCTTGCAAGGCGGACAGTCGTTTTTCTGTTAAATGACATTGTACGAAAATTGGTCACGAAAATCAAATGAACCCAGTATCGAATACCAATAACTCTTTTCAGCACAACGAACTTTAATAAAGATTGCTTTAAAGTATAAAATATTGTAAATTTACATTTTCAACTGTACAATTTTTTTCTTGGTAACTATATTTACATCAAGCTTAAGGTATAATTTGTTTTTCATATTTAATTTAGGTCGATCGAAGTAATGGAAAAATTTAATAGAAAAAAATATGTAAAGCTTTTATCTTGTTGGTAAATTAAAATAGCTAAAAATAAAAAAGATTTAAATCAGCCTCGAGTTTAGGCTGATTTTTTTTCATTGAGAAGTTCCTATGGCAACCTTCCAGTTCCATCATCAGATCCGCACCATGTCATCATAATATTGAATTATCAGGCGATTTACATATGTATGCAAAATGTCAGCTTAGAAACTAGGAAAATGGTTTAAATTTAATTTATAACATTTGACGAAGTGCTTGTAATAATGGATCTTGAAAGTAATGTAATTTCTAAACGTTATTAGTTTAATGTAAGAAGGCTCTTCAAAGAAGAATTCAAAACATTTTTTTAGCGTGACTCTTACATAGAAAATTATGTCATATAACTAAAGTAGGATTACGATCAAATGATTATAAAAAAAAAATTATTTAAATATATATTATTTTCATCGATTTTTTTTATATTAGACTAGCTGTTTCCATGCGACTTCATTCATATGAAATTATATTATGTCTTATTGTCAGCAATGCGTAAAAAATTCAAATGCAAACGTCAAAATTCAAATGCTCAAAATACAACCGCAATTCGCCATTACCGTTACTATGGCAACCATTCGTCTTTGATGTGGCCTTGAAAATTTTTGCCCCTTTATCGTATACCTTTTGTTTTTAATTTACTCATCCCCTAAGTTTAACATCGTGAAAATATATAGCCTAAAGAGTGTCGTAAGTATAAGGCTTTTTATTACTAAAAGAATAATTAAAAAATATGTAATGATTGATTAGATTTTACGTCATAAAGTGTGTGTTTTTTTTGTTATATTAGTTTAGGTTAAAATCAAAATGGTTTAAAACGTGCGTATTTATGTTACGTCTTACCTGTCAAGAGATATACAAACGAGCACGTTAGAGGAGAGGTAGAGGCCGAAAGCTCGCATAACGAGTAGCGCCTTACACAACACGTTGCCCGCTAACCACTCGTTCGTGTATTTCCAGCCGATCTGTACAAACAAATTAAAAATTTAGAAACAACTAACTAGTATAAAACATATTGCTTTATTAATTTCAAACTTGCAGTCGACTTCGATATTTTAAATGCAGAATTAAAAAAAGAAACTAGTCTATAATAGGCCCGCGTGAATCTTGGACAGGAAGGTAACTTACCTTTCTGTCCAAGTTCCGTCAAAATCAGTCCAGCCGTTCCAGATATTACCATGAACAAATGCGGCCTTGTGGACATAGACTACAAAAAAAGTCTAAAAAACTTCTCGATATCAACAACGCTAATGCATCATGTTTACGAAACATGTTTTTTTATGACATTACAAACATACATTCCAATTTCATTATAATACTAGCTGTCGACCGCGACTCCGTCCGCACGGAATAAAAAAAAACTTAGCCTATTTGCTCTTTCAGACTATGCTTTACATCTATGACAAATTTCAATATATGCACCCATCCATCCATCTAAACATTTATAATTAAGACATTTATATAGATAAAACATAAGATAAATATCATCATCATCAGCTATACGTCCCCAATGAGGGGCTCGGAGCCTACCCTAAGTTAGTGGTGATTAGGCCATACTCAACCACGCTGGCCTAGTGCGGATTGGTTGACTTCACACATATCTTTGAATTACTTTTCAGATATGTGCAGGTTGCATCACGATGTTTTCCTTCACCGTAAGAACGTCGGATAAATGTTCATATGTAAATCGGAAGTAGAAAAACATATTGGTACATGGCGGGACTCGAACCCATGACCTGCAGATTGCAAGTCAAGTGCTTGACCTCTGATCCACCGACGCTCTAAGATAAATATATATCTATGCAAATGTATGAGTCTACTCTTAATTAAGTATATAATTAGGTTGTAACCACGCTTTAATTCACATTTCTTCTGTAGGCGTCGATAAATGTTAGTTGTAATTTTATAACCTTCTGACGATTTCTGTTCCAATAACATTATAGTTATTTTACCCAGTTATTTTGAAGCATTATTACAATCATTGCCTTAGGACTTTGAAAGCTTAAAGTATTAATTGATAAAGTTCGCAGTAAGATGTATTTACGTTGTTTTCGTTATTTTAATAACTGTTTCAAATCAACAAGTAAACAGTCTCAATTTTGAAGAACCTATAATTTGAAATATACAAAAATAATAGCTGTCGCCCACGACTCGATCCGCGGGGAATTAAAAAAACTTAATTAGTAGCCTAAGTGTTTTAGACTATGTTCTACATCTATGCCAAATTTCAGCGGGATCCATACAGCTGTACTCAAGATGCCTTCAAACAAACATCCATCCATCAAAACATTCGCATTTATAATATTAGTAAGATATTCGCGTATAAATTCAATTTTGTATAGAAAACCTTTGGTCGACAAATTTTTGATTCATAACTATGTATGATACAGAAGTAAGATGTTTTTCCTTTTTGTAATACTTTATTATTCTTAATAACATTATAAATGCGAATGTTTAGATGGATGGATGTTTGTTTGAAGTTAACTCAGTAGCAGCTCAATGGATCTTGATGAAATTTGGCGCAATTTCAGTCGGTAGCCAACCTTTAATCGAAGGAGGAGAGGACACACAGAAAAAGGTTATTTTCCCTACCTGTGCGACCTCCATTCTGTCCACTTCCCCTTTTCTTCCTTTCCTTATAAGATAAGAGTGGGCAGGGAAAGAGGACTAAACTTATGCCTAAAGAATGTACACTCATCAGACGAAACGTAGAATTACTTCTGCATCACGACTATCTTTTTAACCAAACTAAATCTGTACTGAAGAGCGTCGGTGGCTCAGTGGTCAAGCACTTGACTTGCAATCTGCAGGTCCTGGGTTCGAATCCCGCCATGTACCAATGTGTTTTTCCATATCCGATTTACATATGTACATTTATCCGACGTTCTTACGGTGAAGGAAAAACATCGTGATGCAACCTGCACATATCTGAGAAGAATTTCAAAGATATGTGTGAAGTCAACCAACCCGCACTAGTCCCGCGTGGTTGACTATGGCCTAATCACCCTTAAGTTAGGGTAGGCTTCGAGCCCCTCGGTGGGGACGTACTCGTATAGTGAGCTGATGATGATGAAATCTGTGCTATTTCACGTTTCAGTTCAAGACAAGACATTCACAATATTATTTCATCTTCAAAATGTTCCATAACGAATATGGCTATTGTGGGGAACCGCAATAGCTGTCGATTTATCTGGAACTAGAGTTCGGTTGTGGTATGCGTGAGAGTGATCGCGGTTGTTCAAGAGATTAATAATATAGGCTAGATATAGATTAAGTGTATGCAAAATATGCTACCTGATGTAGGTTTATGCATCACAACTTTAATATAATACTAACAGTTGCCCGTGACTTTGTCAGCTCAGAAAAGTAGTCTATAACATGCCCGCGTTCCTCAGCTACTTGCCCGTCTAAGCCCCGTTAAAAACGCAGCCTTGTGGGCAAATATACAGAGACAAAAATAAAAAAATATATATTTTGCATTATCAGTTATGTTAAAGCAGCCTTTCCCAAAGGGCGATAACGCCCCCTTGTGGGCGCTGCAGGTCTCAAGGGGGCCGGTAAGAGACCCAGAAAGAAAATGGGGGCGTTGTGTAGAGGCCTGAAGGGACGATCTGTAATTTTATTTAGCTAGGAGGCCTCTTAGACAACGACTGCATGAGCTCTCGACTCTCATCAAGATTGCTTAAACTCTAATATGGGTGCGCTAAAAAAATATTTATTCTCAAAGTGGGCAGTAGACAAAATAAGTTTGGGAACCACTGTGTTAAAGTATATGTATATAAATATACATACAGACAAGACAGTCCAATTTTATGATTATGTATGGAGATGTATAGATTAGATTTGTGTCATGATGCAGCGCAATTCATGATAAACAAACATTATTTGTAAAAGAATTCTGATTGCTTGTTCTCTGTTATAAGTTTCGACGCTACATAGGAATTTCGGAGAGATATATTTTTAGGTTATTCTGGTTAAATATTCAACGGAATAGAGCGTCGATATTTGCAATAAAATTTTATAGCGATACATTTTTAAGGTGTATTTCCACTAGTGAATTGACAGGTACAAAAGCAATATTATTATAGTCAGAATTTAGCAGAGGAAATTTTGAGGTTTTATGTTTCCCAGAAACAAGTAGATAAATGTGCATTTTTAAAGGGTTCCATAGCTCGAAAGGAAAAATACGGAACCCTTATAGGATCACTTTGTTGTTTGTCCGTCTGTCTGTCTTTTTTCTCAGAGACGCGTGAAGTTATCAAGCTGGAATTTATAACAAATAATCAGGTCTGCTGTCCCTTGGTGCTGTGAAAAAATAAAACTTCTAAGCCAACGCAATCAAAAGATTTTTTTTAAATATTAGCAGATAGCAGATTTTTGTTAATTTACTAATATTTCTTGTACAATTCCAACGTATCTTTAGGCTTGTGCTAGGACATGGTTTACGACAGACGAATGGTGGAATTCGAACTCTCGACCACGTGATCTGAAATCCATTAGGCTTTTGGTGCTTCAATATAATTTTAAACTAATATACGATTTGGTTGAAACATCGCTAAAAGGTTCGTGGGCGACCACTTTTAGGCGTGACTAACATGTCATAGCAGCTTAAAATTAATAGGATTTATTTCTATGTTTAATACAGTGTACATTTCTGCGCAAACAAAGCCGCATTATCATGAATTCTGTTTGTTATCCATTACTAATGAGATGTAGTAACAAAATGTTTTTTCCGCGATATTGAATTTATTCCATGAGTAGGTGTCGCACGCGACGCCGTCCGCGCGTCATGAAAAAAATGTTAATCAGTAGCGTATGTGTACTTCCAGACTATGTTCTTCATGTATGCAAATTTCATCAAGATTCGTTGAGCCGTTCTGAAAAAATCTTCAAACAAACATCCATCTATCCAAACATTCGCATTCATAATATTAGTATGATACATTTTTAACAACATAAAATTGAAAATCGTACATAAAAACTGTTTTTTTTTACCACCTTTGACTTCTTTATTTTTCTGCCTTTCTGAAATCTACAAATAGGATTATGTTATTCAAAGAGTTAACTGAATCGTTGATAAACAAGCCTTTGAAAAAAACATATATTTCTACATCATTTTACAACCATTCTATGTGTTTGATGTCTCAACGAAAAAGACTTTGAGGCAGCTAAGAGATGGAATCTTTTAAAAGCAATCATAAATATATATCTATCTATCTATAATATACATGTAATAAAATTGGTATGTCTGTGTGTAATACAGATATAAAAAAATCATATTTCGATTTAATTGTAAAATCATTTCGATGGCTTATAAAATATCCAGAATAATCAAATCAAAGTCTTAACAATATATGCAAATTAAAGTACTATTTCAATTTGTAATATGACTAGTAATATTATAAGCTAACGATTTACTCTTGACGTTGAGAGTACTGTAGAGTTTAACCTTTAACTTCGTTAAGAGGACTGAAACTCTACACTTCCTTCCGGAACCTCCGTTAAGGCCATAACTATATTTAAATTTATCGGATTGGGATGCGGTCGAGTGAACTCCAAACTTTACGAACTCCGGTCAGATAATGTAGACTAGCCTAAGCTTAAAACGAAACTAATATAAAAGCTAGTACTAACATTTAAATACCGGTACGGTATCATTGTAAATACATCATCAGCTCACACGTCCCCACCGAGGGGCCCGTAACCTACACTAAGTTAAAGGTGATAAGGCCATAGTCAACCACGTTGGCCAAGTGCGGGTTGACTTCACACATATCTTTGAATTTCTTCTCAGATATGAGCAAATACATGAGTAAATACATAGAGATATTTATATGTATTTGTGAAAGCTGTAACTAATTTATATTAGTAACAAATAAGTAAGGTAAGTGACACATATTGTTTACTTCTTAAAGAGAACTCGAAGAGGAAAATTATTTATTTTCCTTATAAAAAGTCAAACATTCTCCACGTTCCGTATGTAAGGACATATATAATACCAATGTATACGTCGTACGTGCAAAATAAATCCAAGGGAAACATCTCAACAACAATAAACAATTAACAAAATTTGGAGTGTTTTAACATAGAAAAAAAAAATATTTTTGGTTTACCTATAACAGTCGATTATTGACATTTTTATCTATCTGTCTGTTTGTCTGTAAATTCGCGAGCTGGTTTCGTTCTGGGTAATCTACTAAACGGCTGAACCGATTTTGAAGGGGCTTTCACTGGACGGTAACTTAAGCACAGATATAACAGGCTACTTATTTATTCATTTTGTTTATACTTTAGTTCCACGCGTGCAAAGTTCGGTCTACAGCTAGTTAATTATAATATCGCCAAGTTACAATTCATTTAAGTCAGCTTATTTAACCATAAAGAAATAAGTTATTGTCCGATTATTTTTTTTATATCATAAGGTAGCAAACGAGCGAGCGGCCACCTGAAATCGCTGAAGTAGCGAAGTGAACGTTGCCAATAGACATACGCAATTGCATATGCGTTGCCTACCTTTAATCGACGGAGGAGAGGATGCACAGAAAGAAAATATTTTCCCTTTCCATGCATCCTCTCATCCGGAAAGTCCACTCCTCTTCCCAACCTTTCCTTATAAGAAAGGGGTGGGAAGGGAAAGAGGACTAAATTAAGCCTCCGGGACGCACACTCATCAGACGAAACGCGGAATTGCTTCCACTTCACGCCTGTTTTCTGTGTGGTGGTGGTATTTCACCGGGCGAACCTGGCTAATTCGTGCGAAGATGTTAAAGAGGGTTCTACCACTCTTAAACTAGATTAGAACAAATATCACCAAAAAAAAGCACAAAAAATCCAAGTAAAATTTCAAAGATAGTAAAATCGAAAAGACTATTATAAATGTTACCTCCAATGGTATAACACCACAGGTGACTGACACGTCTGCGATAGCAAGATGCGTCATGAGAAGGTCGACCCTGGACTTCCTCCGTCTGGTCTTCGCCAAGCTGATCAACACTGCCAAGTTACCAAGCGCACCAAGCGTCATCAGCACCCAGTAGGTTACGATCACAGCATGCTGGTCTCTCGCTAAAGACTCCTCAATACTCTTGTTGACAGAAACTGGCGAAGTTACAGTATACAGGATGTTTATATTGTTTGTTGTATTCGTTGTCATTTTTGTAGTTTTTGTTGTAATCTTGTTTTGTTTTTAATCACAATGTTATTAATTCACTTGTTTTGTCGTATTTAAATGAATGTAAATTATTTTAATGAATATTATTTAATAAAATTATAAAAAAAAATTATTAAATTAAAGTGCAAATTAATTTAATTATTTAAAAATAAGTAAGTAATCTGAATGCACAAAATAAATAATTTTAAACAACGTTATCAATTTTTTTTTTAATTTTTAATTCACTATCACTACACACATATTTTAATATATTTTCCATTTATTTACACAATGACGGTATTCAAACTTTCACGGAGACGTAATTTTCCCGACACGCGCGTCCTACGCACGTTAGTTCTACGAGAGATCGTAGGAGAGACTGCCTACGCGGGTGCTACGATGTAGCGGTGAGCTAAAAGCTACGATAGTTCTGTTTGAGATTATGTTATAACACGCTTCGAGTGTTATGAATTAAATAGCTGTATTATTGTGATTTTATCTTTCTATTGTGAATTAACAAGTTTTGTACATATATCAATCTTTTAAATAAAAGTTACTATTGCTTAGGACATCTTAAAGACTGATTTAAAAATTCAAATAAAAAAAAATCAAGTTTAACAGTTTATTTAAGGCACCAGAAACGTCTTAATGAAGAGGACATTTACAAGATATTTTTTACTTCTACAATGCTGTGAAAGTGAAAGTTGTTCAAGGCTTTTATGACACAAATTGTGAGACTTTATCAAAGTTCCCTCACTGACCAATTGTTCAGGAAAACGTACGCGACAAATAAATATTGATATATATATTTTTTTAATTTAAGCGTCAATAGCCTAATGGTTAAGGGTACGGATTTCCGACCACGAGGTCGGGGGTTCGAATACCGCCAATCGACTATTGTCGTAAACCATATCCTAGCACAAGCCTAGAGCTTAGTAGAGCTTAGTTGGAATGGTAAAAAAAATATTAGTAAATTTACAAAAAAATCTGCTAATATTTTTTATAAAAAAAAAAATTAAAAAAAAATCCATATTATATACAAAAAAGCATAGGTAATCGTTTTGAATGAACATAAGATAATAAAGAAAATGTCAAACCTTTTCATCCGTTACCTCTTGTTGACATCTCGTTATTATTTTGATTGATTCGAGCCGCGGGCGAAATATTCCATTTACCAAAAAAAGTCCCATTTGATTATAATCCAATGATTTTTCAAATAAGGTACTTCGTACACATGGCAGCGTAAACCTTTGAAAACCCGCGGTTTTAAAAGCTACTTACACAGTTCTATATCAGAGGTTCGTACTACACGTGTCGTCGACATTCCTGTCATCGCCAAAGTCATGTCGCTCGCAACCTGTGTCTCAAGGTCATCCTGCAATTTTCAAGATGGCGGAGTAAATCAGTTGACACGTAGTCGCTGTCTGTACTGGCCGAATTAAATATACTTTTAAAAAGAAATTTACCGTTTATAAAAAAAAACGCAATGTGTACAGACTATATAGATAAAAACTTTAATAATTGGTTTTTCGTTGTCACATGTACGAAATATATTTTTTTCCACGATATTACATACAGACAATCCATTTCATTAATATATAATTCAAATTATTCGTTCTTTGTGCGTACAAAGAAAGGGGAGAAGGTACCGGCGGCAATGCTTCGTCACATTATAATGACGGTCCATTCAAGATCAGAGTTAAAGTTCTTTTTCTATTATAAATACACCATGTGTTATTATTAATATTTCTAATTATAGCACGCGACTCAGTCCGTGCGGAATTAAAAAAATATATTATAGTAGCATATGCGTTCTCCAGATTATTTCTACATCTATGTCAAATTTCATACAGACACAGATAGCCGTTCTGGAGATACCTTCTAACAAAAATCCATCCATGTAAACTTTCGCATTTATAATATTAGTAAGATTAATATCAGATATTTTCGTAGTCAATTGTTATCGTAAAATTTCCTTTTCAAAGAAATTCCTTTATCCATTATATTAACTAAATTTTTAAAAACTTTTTCAAAACATGAGTACAGTTCAAATTTCTTAATATTCTTAATAAATAATAATAGTATTTTCTAATACTTCGAAACGTATATTAAAAATTAAAAAATACAAAGTGCAAACTTTGAAATAGAAGTCGTGAGATAAAAGTGATCTTATCGTCAGAATACGAGTATTTTAAATGCTCTCGACCTAATCCTTCGCCGTGCAATTGATGTTCTTTATTAAAAATTGTTTTCTCTATTTCATCTTATTTATATTGAAGAAAAATTCACTGAATTTGAAATAACTTTAAAGCATTTAAGAAAATTAAAAAGAACTACATTGTTGACTAAATTTCATCAACGTTAACGATGATTCGTTATAAAGATACTGCACCGTCTTCACTGCTGTGAGACTAATAAAAATATTGTCATCCCTTTCACTCTGTTTAAAAAAAAGACTACATATGCATAAAACAAGTGAATTCTACTTAAACGTTACGTTAAATTATTAATATAAATCTAATAAATTCGACCTCTTTGGTAGTAAATATCAAGTAAATCGAGTTGGCCATCAAGAAAAAAGAAGAAAAAAACGGTAATGCCCGCGAGAAAAGCGGGAAGTACACAACCATGTTTTATTTATAAACTAATCAAACATATTCAAATACAATAGTTATAGAGTGGACATTATATAAATATTTCGTAAACAATTCCACATATTGGCAGTATTGTTATCTGTTAGAAATATGAAAATAGGGAGCGGAAATTCAACCGGTATTTAGTACATTTTGAACGTACGGTTTGTTTTGTAATGTCCTGTCTATTGATTTGGTATTTGTTGAATATCTTTGGAACCCATAATTAGTATAAAATACAATAAAAAGTAAAGCATTTCTACTTCAATCAGTTAAAAAAATGCCGTAGCAAACATTACTCGTGTCTCGGGAAGGACTCAACAGATCCCGATGAAATTTAGCATAGATGTAGAACATAGTCTGGAAGCTACTTTTTTTTAATCTCGCGCGGACTGAGTCGCGGGCGACAGCTAGTTATAGAATAATTTCTAACAATATAATGTTAAAGTTCTAAGAAAACTCCATGTATCTATTTTAATAAACTCCGTGTTTATAAGCCAGTTTTATTTAGTACTGATATTAAAATATTTCCACGTAGCATTATTTCGTGTTATTCAGGTAAACGATAAGTGGAATTTGTCGGCTAAATATATATTTATTCACATTAAAACAGCGGCTTTTCAAAAATATATAACAATAAAAATTATAATTACTATACTAGCTCTCGCCCGCGATTACGTCCGCGAAGAATTAAAGAAAACACTTAATGAGTAGCCTATGTATTCTTCCAGATTATGTTCTACGTCTATGCCAAATTTCAGCGATATCCATGTAATCGTTCTAGAAATACCTTCTAACAAACATCCATTTAAACATTCGCATTTATATTAGTAAGTTCAATAATTTATCAAGTCATTGCAGTCGAAACAGAATTACGAGAACCGAATTTTCCAAAACCACGTTAAGTATTCTATCGATTTGAACGTCAGAGTACATTTGAGTTGCTTAGTAATGTTTATACCCAAATAAGGGTCGCCTACGTTCGCGGTACGGTTTTAGGAAAATTGTCTTGAACGTCGAAACGAAAGTAAACTACACCCTTCTATATAAACAAAGAGAAAGCTTGAGATCAAATGAAATCTACTCTCGGTTACCTGCACTATGTATCTAGGTATTGTATGGTAAACAATACGGTTTTTAATTTATATTAAGTATGTACTTACCGACTTTATTACGATTCATTTAATTTGATTCGTATTAATAATAGTAACCGGAGTAAATAAATTTAGTTGAGTTTCTTAAAATATTTCTGATTAGCTGTCTCTCGCGACTCTGTTCGCATGAAATTAAGAACCTTTGTAGCATATGTGTTGTTCCAAACTATATTCTACATCCATGCCAAATTTCATCATGACCCCTTAAACATTTACATTTATAATATTAGTAATATTATGTAGTTTACACATAACTTACGCTTTTAGCCCAGAGGGGTAGACAAAAAACACAGACCTCCATTTGGCGCCGCGAAATAAATCCACTTTTCGCCATTTAGGGAGACGGAATGTATCATGTGGCGAACAGCGTCGCCGTCTTTTTCATTCGGAAATTCACACATATCTTTGAATTTGTTTTCCTACACCAAAAGAACGTCGGATAAACGTACATATGTAAATCTATAAACACCTTGGTACATATCGGGGTTCGAGCCCATGACCTTAAGATTACAAGTCAACTGTTAACCCCTGAGCCACCGACGCTCTTTAACTTTAATAATTTATTAAAAAATAACAATTATTTATGTAACTAACAGCAAAGTGTTACAAAGTCGTTGGAATTAAGAACAAACGTTGAAATTAAATCTATAGTTTGGAATTCGCAGTTCCTTCGCAGTAATTCAAATTCAATCTGACCGTTGTCTCTATTAACTTTGGAACAAAGGGAGACATTCCACAAAACAATATCACAGTTCAAAGAACTGCGGTCGTAGTGCGACCTCTACCGGCATATATCAACACTGTTTACCGTGTCATACGGTTGACCAATTATTTACTGACGAAATTTGACGAAATGAAAAAAGACAATTTTTGGGAAATCTTAAATGAAATAGAATTTATGTAGATAATATATGCTGTTTTATTTAACAATATTTATGGTTAAATACTGTTTTTCTCATAAAATTACAGAACACTAGCATTGTTGTTAAAAAAACACAATTCAACAAAGTCAACAATCATTTTTTTTGCTATTTCAACGCCGAGTCAAAAATGCGGCTTTATTAAGTTTAAAATTTGTAGCCTATGTGTCTTTGCCTTTCATGTTCTACATCTATGCCAAATTTCAGCGACATTCATGCAACCGTTCTGGAGATACCTTCAAACAAACTTCTATCTATCCATCCATTCGCATATTAGGAGTAAGATAAGGGTTAGGTAACCATATTTTATTATACAATAACTGTAAAAATTAAATTTAAAATTGCCGTTAAATACATTCATATTATTGAATTTCTGCGTAAGATCGAAACGAGTTATTTATTCCAGCCCTGAGGTAATATTTAAAAGGCGTCCAGTTGATCGTCGTTTATAATGGTAAATTTGATACTGAAATTATAATTTAAATTTACTTAAGCTTAAGATTTTAAACATAAAACTTTAACAGTTCATTTTTTATTTCACAAACTTTAACTTTTAATTAGTATTTAAGTTTTAATTTCAAAGTAATAAATAAGTTATTAGTTTAACTCCAAAATTAAATCCATTATGACTAAAAAAAATAGCAAAGTTGTAGATCTGAGTTTTGGACGACATGGATTGCCAGGCGGTATCGTAAATATGTTTGCAGACTTCGCCGACGAGGGCAGTATAATATTAGTTGTAGGATTGTGACCCGTTCAGAGCATAGTCAATGTAGCGGTTGAAGTGTTAATCAGACAGTACACAAAGTATCTGAGTAATAAAAACAAAAAAAATGTGTAATAAAAGAAATCAATAAATCCAACTAAATAAAATTTAGGAAATTAGTATTATGGTAATCAATATTTCAAATTGTTAAACTATTTATACTAAAATCAGATATTTTCCTAGCAATCTTCAACAATATGTTACCTTAAAACTATTACATTTAATTAAGGTATGAGATCATAAAATACTTTTTGGGTAAGACGTAATTTAAAATTTATCCTATTTAAACATTTCACTAGCCATTATTTACATCGTCCGAATTAGTTATACGTCAGTAACATATATACTACGTACGTGATATAATACATACAATAAGTACATAATCGTCGAGGACGTGACATCGTCTCCGGAAGACGAGGCCAGATTTAATATTGCGTCTTTGAAAGTTATAAAATGGGGAAATATCAAAAACGTTTTCAATTGTCTCTGAAGAACAATATATTGTTTTATTTGACTTACATATATTCTTGTTTTATTGTAGAAGGTGGTAAACGAGCAATTCATTAGCTGATTTCGCTAAAATAGCGAAGCCAAAACCTTGTCAAAGATATGTGTATGTAAGTTAACAAATGTCTTTTTAATCTACTTGCTGTCGGCCGCGACTCCGTCCGCGCTATATTAAAAAACATAATTAGTAGCCTATGTGTTCTTCCAGACTATGTTCTATATGTATACCAAATTTTATCAATCCCTTCAGCCGTTCTGGAGATACCTTCAAACAAACATCCATCCATCCTAACATTCGCATTTATAATATTAGTAAGATACAATTAATAAAATTAGAATGAAGTATGTACTAACGGGAAAAATATATAATATTTTAAAGATTTTTTTTTATTATTATCAATCTGACTGTCCGTTTGTTTGCCCGTAAGAGACTTTGATCGGTACGTAGTTGAGGTATGTGGACATTTTCACGCTACATTTTTCTGAGCTCACAAAGTTGCAGGCGACGACTCAAGTTGATTAACTTAACCACCACTTAACCGCCAATATTATGTAAGATTTTACATAATATTGGTGGTGATAGTACATACATTTAGAGAAGTATTCAAACCCCTTTCTACTTCAATCAATACTAATCGTTCATGTAAATTGCAGATTAATTCGATTATAAGTAATTGCTCCGCGCCGTTATACAATGACCCAACCAACATCCAACTAACCATAGGTTTCTGACAACAAAATCTATATAAAA